TTTTTTTTTTCTACCACCAGGTTCATCACAAAGTGACCCTGTTCTCTCCAGAAGGTGGCAGCAGTACTCCTTCATTCAGAGCAGACTATCCTCCTCCAGGTTCTAAAGACATGGAATTCCTCTCTCTTGTGGCCCCCAGATCAATCCTAAGTAAGTACTTATTTATATTTATTGTACTACTGATGTTCATTTATTTATTTTGAATTTTTTTAAATTTATTTTTCATATGTCAAGAGATGAGAAAATGAAATCCAAAGCAAGTTTATTTTAATTAACAATCATTTAAAAATGCCTTTGTTCTATTTTAGTACCCCCAAAGAAAGATGGTCACATGGAAAGGTGAGGAAATTTATTATTACTTGTCATTTTATTTTTGTGTTGTTCAAAACCACCAATATTGAAATTCATTTGCTCTTGCCCACAGTTATTGAGTTAAACAGTTGTAGAACAAATTTACTTATTATCATTTTAAACATATTTTAGCATATTTCTGTTTGCAGCTATTCTCCTGACTATTGTTTTATTCTGCACATTATTCTTAGCATGTTACATGTCTCCAAGTTAGACACAAATTAATTAGTTTAATATGCTTTTGATCAACAAAATGTAAGAACTATTTTTATTTTGAAATACATATCCAGCTTTGAAATCACGAAATTTTAAGTTGTGATTCCCCAAGATCTCTTTATCCCCTTAACCTCCATCTATGTAAGTGCACTTCAAAATTTATTTTATTTTATGTGTCACCACCCGCAGCATGGTCACCACACCCCGCGACGTCAATCTTCCCGTTCCCCTGCACTCTGCTGCGGGGGACTCCCCCAGCATCTCCAGTGCACATGTATCTCAGAAATACTATGGCTACAAGGGCAGTGACTCCAACATTGGAGATGGTGACAGGCCTGATACCATGCTGAAGAGTTTAGATATGGATCTTATTAATCGGTTACAGGTAAAGAGAAAAAGAAAAAAATGTGGTACCTGAAGGAGAGATGAAGTAAATCTGGCATTATTTAGTTCAATATAACAAGTATTGTTTAATTTTATCTTTTGGTAAAAAAATTATTTTGGGTTGTATGTTTGATAATCATGCATACACGGTGAATGATAAACATGAGTGCAGAGTGAACTATCATTCACCCATGTTCTATTCAATGTCGCACATATCATTGCTTGTAAGATGGTTGCAAAATGATGACCAAGACCAATAATTCTGAAATCAACATTTGCAGGATGGTTATAAAGGAGATGACCAAGAACTCATTAATGAAGACCAAAGTGACCAACCTGACCACCTAGAGGAGGACGAGGGTGACCAGAATGACCCCTTTGACCACATGGACAGTGCCAGTGATATTTCATCTCTGGGCAAGCCTCCCAGTATCACAGGGGAGAGGGAGGAGGTGAATGAGGAAGAGAAAAAGGAAGACAAAGCTGACAAAGAAGAAGGACTTGAAACTAAGGAAACTAAGGTATTATTGTGATCCATGGCAGAAAAGAATTTCGTCCCCTGTGTTAAATACTCAGTTACTGATACATTTTAATTTTTCCAATCAGCAGTTAAAATCAGAGCAGTTGTTGGCATACTTTATGTAAAGTATTCCAGTAATGTTAGATGACTGTCAGAAATGCAGGTGATATTTTTTTCTCTAAATGTTTATACCTTCTTTGACTTTTTAAAAGAATTTTATTTCTAAGTTTTTTCAGATATATATATATATATATATATGTTGAAAATTCAGCTTAATGGTAATTAAAAGTTATATACAGACACACTCACAAGATACTAAAACATTTTTTTCTTTTCCACAGGAAGAAAATGAATCCCTCATCAACGCCAAGCAAAGACTAGAATCTAAATACCACCTGACCATCTCCAATCCATGGTCATTTGCCCCAGACGTGGATTTTGAAAATATCAACTTTGAGGAATACATGAAGGGCAACTTGCCAGACCCAGAGAAACTGATCCATGGAGAACACTGGTTAACTGCAATACAGAAACCCGAGAACTATTGCGGGGATTGTCGACCTCATACGGCTCCACCGAGTAAACCCAAAACCAGGGGAATTGACGCCAAGGCGGAGGAACTGGAAAATTTACTCCGTATTCACGGTGCTCAATTCCAAAGACTACAGAATCTTCAGCACATGCAGCAACAGAAGAAAAAGAGGTTGTTATCAGCCCCTACCAGAACCCCTCCCTCCATTCCCAGCCCCCAAAATCACCCCCTGGGTGGCAGGACCCCCCGAGGAGCAAGCAGGAGTAGCTCCTATCTAGCTGAGCTGGAGCATCATGCCAGAACATTGAAGAGTCCCCGAAGGTTCATGGAGAAAAGTATGTTTTTATGTTGTTTTTGGGATTGCAGTTTTACTAGTTTGTGTGTGAATTAATGTTTGTAGATTAATTACTTATATTTGTGTATAGATTAATAATTATTGTCTTAATCCCAGTCATTTTAAGTATTTGAATAATGCATTAATCTATTTTAAAATCATTTATCATATTTATCACATATTCAATGTTTCAAAACAAGTTTAAGCCAATTTCTTCACAATCATGTTTCTAATTATCCCTAGACCTGTTGAACACTGCTAAGAAGAGTAAGTCTTTATTCATCTCGTGACCTTCGTTTTCTTGATTTAAAACTTTTGTGAAATCTCCTGTTTATTATTTTGTTCTGTTGTGGTTTTGATGTATGGCCATGCTCTTGTGTACTGCTCATGTGCTGTTTTTCTCAAGAGACTATTATTTTGATGATCTCTTTATGATCGGCCATTGATATCATTTTTCATTATCAATGAAATTGATTTCTGATTTTGAAATTGTGACCACCTCATGAGAGCTTAATATTCTATTCCAACCTGTTGAAGTTATCTGTCTCATTTCAGCTTACGAAATTTTTGAATTTGAATTTGTTGCAACTTTATGATTTTCTCTTCTTTCAAATTTAAACTTTTGTTTATCACAAATACAACACTTGTGTTATAAGAATTTATTGGTTGAATTGATTACATATTATACATTTATCAGAATGATGTAGAATATTAATTGTAAAGAATTGCAGTGAACAAGCAACAAAAAGTATTCCTCCACAGCACAATCTCTGCCATAAAGACAAAATGATAAAGAATCTTTGCAAACAAATTATTTAATATCTTTGTTTTTCAGTCATCAATTTACGTCAAGCAGACACAGAAAGGTCTCAAGCAAATTTGGGTCATGCAAGCAACCCCCAGGAACTCCAGTCAGCATTGACTGTTCTGAGACTAAACTCCAGAACTTCATCAAGTCAGCCAACACCAGTACCTCTGAAAGACGCTTATGATCTGTTTGATGAGTTTGAAGAGGTGTGTCAGGCCAATCAAATTGCATTGGATGATGGTAAGGACAGTCACTGTTAAATATCGATCTAGACTCAAGCTAGGTACTAGCCAATGTTTTGCCAAATGATTAAGACACTGTGTCATGTGGCCATACTAAGTTTGAAAAATTGATCAATTTTACCAATATAAGATTGATTCAAGATACTGTGTCCAATACATTACACATAAAGATATGTATAAAGATAAAATGTTTTGGTCAAATTATGCATGTGCTACATGGTATGAGTGTATCCAAGAAATGCATGTATTCCCTTTGCTCTCAACCAGTTGCAATTTTAAAGTAATATATTTAGGAGTCTTGTTGTCAACCAGTTTATAAAAATTATTCCTTGGTGAAACCATGCCACAAAGGCAGAAAGTCATCTTTGTTAAAACAAGTATTTTATTATATTTTATTACACGTATATTATTATTATTATAAAATTATAAATGTAATACCTTTAAATACTTCTTGTACATAAAATCCGTTCATTTTAGCAGATAGCAAGTCTCAGCCAGAGATGCCTCAGAGAGACCCAGATCTACCAGGTTATGATGGTTATACAAATAGTAAAGGAAGCCCCAGCATTTCAAGCTCATCAACCTCTGAAGGAATTAGAAAGGAACTGGACATCTTTGGATCATCTGACCAGCTCAGTGTTAAAGGTCAGTTCTGTGAATTATGTATTTAATTCTGTAATATCATATTGGGGTAGAAATTCATCAATTACATGCTTGTGAAGATTTCCACGTCTTTAGTACTACATGAACAAGATCTGTCTCTAAAGAGTTAACTGTCAGGAGGCATATTTGTATCTGAGACCATTTAGAGCCTAACGAGGATTTTTTTAACATAAAAGAGACACCCCTTTTCACAAGATCTCAGATTTATGTGTACTAGTTACTTTCAAAAAACAAAAAAACAAACAAAAAATAGAAAGAAAGAAAGAGAAAAGAAAGAAAAAAGAAAGAAAGAAGGGAAGAAAAAGACATCTAGGGAAACTTAATCCCATGATTTTCTGCATACATTTTAGATTCAGAATATGCAGCGGACATCTCCAATTCTGACACAGTGACGGAAAAGATGACATCCAATTCAGTCACAAGTAATGACACCCCTGTTGGTCCACCAATAAGTGTCACCATTGTCACAAGTCCTAGACTTAAAACAGGGGACACAGGGGATACTGAGGAATCACAAGAGGACAAGGATGATAAAGAGGATGACCTGGTTTTTGTGTCAAACACTGGGGAAAGGGAACCCTCCAAAGCAGGACGCCCAATCCCAGAGCATTTTCAGCCAACTGATCCTGTAAGTCCTTGGGAAATTCAACTGCATTTTTAATTTTAAGGTTCGTGATTTTAAGTATATGTTTACTATGCTCCTCTATTATTATGAAATGTTTAACTGACACTGTACTTCTTTAAATTGTTTTAGACTAGATACTGCTGCACTACACATATCGTACATGTTTAAATGCTTTCTTACAGGATGCATTGGAAGAAGCAGTCAGGAGACAGCAAGAAGCCAATGCTGCTGTTGACATCCAGAGGTCAGTGATCTGGAAACTTTTTTTTTTAAATCAAAAGTTCTTTGAAATAAGTCAAGTCTTTTTTCAATTTATAAGTTATTCTCACCATAAGGTGAATAATGCATGCTTATATTTTCTTCATGATTTTTGAAAATTTAATTTGAGTATTTTAATTAAAATATAATCTATAGATAATTTGCTGTACTATCACAGATTTTTACATGATTGCATTTCTCATGTAGCAGTATGAAACAGAATCTTCTTTATTTCTAATTTATGTAAGAATTTATACTGAGATATTCATCTCCATTGGACACTGTTTTTACTGTAGAATTTTCCGAGGCTATGTGGTGAGGAAGAGTTATAAATACCTGATGAAAGAGGAGAGAGAAAGAAAAGAGGATGAAAGGAAAGCTGCCATAGAAATACAAAGGTGAAATTTTGACTTTCACAAAATAAATGTCTGTCTGTAAAATTTTCCATGAGAATTTTAGTACAAAAATGTCTTTAAAAGCATGTGTGTGTAGAGGTTTTCATAATATTACATCAGCAGTCCACATGTAGTAATGTGAGTTTTCTCTATTACAGAGCATACAGGGGGCATATATCCAGGAAGAAAGCCATTTATAATAGAGAGCCTAATCCTGACACCATGATTTGGGCAAAGGAGTTTAAAACTAAGCAGACGGAAAAGGCAGCTATGAGAATGGTGAAAGCTGAGGAGACAACAAGACAGTAAGTTGACATAACATAACATAACATAACATAACATAACATAACATAACATAACATAACATAACATAACATAATATAATATAATATAATGAAAAGGCAGCTATGAGAATGGAAAAAGCAGAGGTGACAACAAGTATCTTATATGATGTGTAACACAGATTATCTGACAGAAACACACCTTTATTATGATGATGACTGACAGGTGTAAATTATTCTGAATACTGCTCAATTTAAGTTTCTCTTACAGACATGGCTTTATATGGACCACATTTATTTTCAGTTTAGGATTACTAGAAACAAAGCTGGCTGTGCATTAGTTAATTTATATCATAATTAGAATGATACATTTGCCCCATTTCTTTTCAGACATACCAGGAACAAGGCAATTGCAAATGCAAAGCTGTCTGTTATTGGTCCCCATGTGGAGATATATGAGTAAGTTTTGATATGTCTTAATTGTCACGTGTACCAAAGTTACTATTCAGTCTGATTGGACTGGTGGAAATTTTAGCAAATATTGTCCTCAGTTATTTTTCTGCTATCTATAAATTTCATCTTCAGACTGGTCAATTTTCATTAGCAATAGTAGTTCTCTGAGGCTTACTCCTGATTCCTCTGTAATTTTTTGATGATCTGATTTTTTTTTCTCAGCACATTCCACCCTAAGAAAACTGGGCCCAACAAGAAGCAGATCATAGAGGCAGCTATAACTCTGCAGAAAATGTTTCGGGGATGGAATGTTAGAAGACAGATGGATGCCTTGAAGAGAAGAGTGGGTTGAACAAAACTTTTTTTCAAAACTTTCATAATTTTTATGTACTTTGTAAAAGTGTGATAATTTTGATGTTGTAGAAGCAAATTATGCTTTTAGTAGCTTCTTTGGTAGATCTATGGAATTTTTCAGTTCTTAGTTAATGTGTAAGAAAAAAAATATCCAGCTTCACTGCAATTCCAACAAATTAAGTGGATGCAACTGTAGATGTGTAAGAGATAGTGATGTAGTAGTAGACTTAAGATGTACTCACTACAACATATAGATAGTGAAGGTTGCTTTTACCTTTATGTGCATGTTTGAGAAGGCAAATGTAAACACGTTGAAAGTTTATCACATTTTTCATCCCATTTTTGTTTAATTTTCTAGATTTCAGTAAGTAGTGAGAGTGATATGTGTTATGTGTAACCAGGGGCGGATCCAGAAATATTTTCTGACAGTCTTCCAAATCATCTTTATTGATCCATCCTCCATTTCTTACCGTCTTCCGACAGAGTAAAATTATATACCCGTCCGTGTAAATTTGAAAATCTGACCGTGTTCCGGAAGACCCAGAAGACGCCCTAAATCCGCCCCTGGTAACAGTGACTCAGTTGTTCAGAACTGAGCCTGCATTGTTCATCAAAATGTTCATGTGACTGTATGTCTATGTGACCAGTCTGTCTGCATCACAGTTTTAAGTTTGCATGGATTTTTTGCCACAAAAAATTTCTTGTTGAATTGAATACTTATCTTGAGAGTTTTTACACTCTACACTTTTTATGTCTTTTTGATCTCCAGGACAACAATATTCTTCTCTGCATTATTATTCATATTTTACTGGGCACTGATATTTAGTTATATCTCGTTTTTGATGATTTCGTGTATGAATCATTGCACTTGATTATTTTTGTGACAAGCCTCGAGTAATCATCCAGAGTAGAATTTTAAAAGTAAAGTATAAAATTTTGATATTACCTAAGCACAAAATAGAAGCTTTTGTAGCCTGAACATTCACCATTCATATCATTTATATGACTGCTTTTGGTTAAAATAGTGTTCCACTTTCTATCATTTAATCTCATGAAAGGCACATCCTTGATTTTTAAATAAAAGTAGAGATTGCTGTTTCCAGGGTATCTGGCACTCGGGATCTTGGGATAAGTTCATCACAGACTACAAAGACCTGCTGCGTAGAATACAAAAGCGCTATGGGGTTCCCAAGCCTGTAACGCCATTTGATTTCAAACAGATCCAGAAATTTATGGAGTCAAAGAAAAGTAAGTATTGAAAAATGATAGTGAAGAAAGATTTATTTATAAAATTTAGACCTTTTTTTTATATTTTAGGTTGAAAGTAAATTAAAAGTGAAATCGAAATTAAATTGAAATTAAAAGTTGAAAGTGGATGCGACATGATAAGGAATATTTTTGTGACAAACAGACCATGGGATCCTACAAATATTTATAACATACCAAGATTTTTCTTGGCATGGGAACAAACAGTTACAGATATTGAATACTATTTCTTTGTTTTCAGGGTTTGAGAGTGTTTTTGACAAGATCTCATTTGGAGGGGAACTGGAACTGGAAGATATTCCTCAATACTTCAAGGAAAGTGACCTGTACCCAGCCAAATCAGAGATAAATGAGGCAATGGATTCAGTCTTCAGAGGTTTGTAGTACAGTCGCTAGGAGATATTTTTATGTCAGAATGTATAAGAATTTTACATTTTTTGTGGCTTTTTGAGTGCTGTGAGCAAATATTTTAGAGTGTATAATTTGGAAAAAGATAACAAGTCTCAGTGCAGCAGGTTATGAAATGTGAACTCAATTAGAATATGAATGGCATTATCTTATTAGTTATGCAGTCACTTTCTGAGGGTGGTAAGGAGTAGGGTTCATGACAAAATATGATTTGTGCAAGGCCTTTAACAAGGAGAATAACCCATTAGCATAGATAAAGAGAAATTTTAACAAACAAACGTAGGTGTGTTTCTGTTTAAGTTCACAAAGGTATTATTTGTCATTGTGTATTTCATAATATTTCCTTCTCTTTTTAGGGAAATCCATGAAAAACAAGCGTGGCTTGCACAAGGAGGAGGCGCTGGAGTTGACGTTCCAAATTTATGTACCAGAGGCAACAGGACTTCAGAACCGCAGGAAGTCCACCTGGATGAATCCCATTATAGATGGGGAAGAAGCATGGAAACTCCAAGGTAAGACTAAGAATGGTGGGTGTTTGTGTCTAATATATGTCAACTTTACTTGGCATCCGAAAGGTTATGTATTAGGTCAGTAAATATAAGTTAAAATTTGAAGGAGTTTGTGGCAATAATATTATAAGGATTAAAAAATACATGAAGGTTGTGCTCAGAATTTAAGCTCTACTTTATCCTGATACTTCACATATTTAAACCCAGGTTCATTGGAAGTAAAAAAAAAAAAGCTTTTTCATTTTAGATGCTCGGACAAATTGCAGCTCATTTGTTAATGAACCCTGAATTTATTCATCCATTCATTCTTCTGATGGTATTTATTTTTACATCTATAGGTAGCGATTTGGTGGAGCCGGCTCCACTGAAGCCATGCATGGACTTGGTTATCAACTCCATCAAGGAGAGAAAGGAAAGAGAATCAGCTTCTGGTGCACCAGTTGGAGAAAACCTGAAGAAAGAGGGGAATAAAGGTGCAAACCAGACTAGAAAAATAAAAGAAAAAAGAGACCAAACATCAGAAGATAAGTAAAGGCCAACAACACTGGTACTGGAACCAAAGAGGCAATTAGGAAAGAAAAAATTTGACAAAGATCCTGAACAGTATTAGAAAAGACAAAGAATGGTGAGACTAAACTCGGAACTAGACATAAAATAATCTAGGGAAAGATAAGAGGACCAGTGCTGTAGTATGATAAATTGTACATAATATGGAATTCATGGCACCTTAAGGTGATTTATGAATAATGTAATATATAACAAGGTTTCATCCACAAATAACGTATGCCATTGATCTGTTTTAGCTAATCAAACAAATCATATAGTAAGTTAGTGTGTAAATTACAAATTACATTTAAAGGAATGCCCACCCACCATCATGTAAATTGTGTGCCAACTAATTAGCCTTGTAAAAAATTATGTAAAATAGTTAAATTCCCATTCCCACCATCAAAAGAATATTTTTTGTATGTGTGTTTTTGCTGTGTCACTGTTACATAAATTCTCTTTTGGAGGGTTGTCCCTGTTATTAATATGAATTCATGATAAGACAATATTGTCAGAATGTAAGAGTAGATTGTATACATAAATAGAGAGAGAGTGTTTTTGAAGGTTCGGGACTCCTTAAATGGCCACTGTTGGTCCATATCTTATGTATATTATATATATTATATTAACTAGTTCATCAACAGACAAACATGAACAATAATACTTTACATATTCTGTCTCTTTCCTTCTATTTAAATGCATGCCTAGCATGCCAGTGGCTGAAAAATAACCTGCTTTATGAATGTGATTCCCTCCTTCAAATCCGTCCATATTTTTACTGTACTTCAGAACAAATGATATTGTTCCAGAGCATTAGATCAGTTGTATCCCAATGCTTTTACAGTATATATTTTTATAGCTATATTATTTTAAATCCAGGTATTGTATTACCAAAGATAACCTTTTAGGTTTGATAGTGTTTTCACTTTTGTTATGCTAAAGATATTTTAAGTAATGGTTTTTTCAAAAATTAAGCACCATCTTATATATGGTAACTGCTGGTTTAGATCATAAGCCTTTTTTGTACTGTATGTACAAACTACTGAATAGTGAACTGTGAAACGTGCTCAATACTGCCCAGGTTGACTGCAATTTTTCTTTATCTTTGTAGATATCTTTGTAGTATAGCTTTATTTATACACCATGTGTTTAAAAACCCATTTACACTGGACGGCATCCTTTCTGTGTCCTTTGTGCGACCATGAGTCTGGCGTCGCTATGGTTGTAGAAAGGAGGAACAAGCATCGCTTTGGTTGCAGAATGAATGCTCGATGACTGGCCAGTTATTGGCAGGTAAAGTAATTTTTTACTCTTAAATGGGACCGTTTTACGCCGTCCAGTGTAAAGGGGGTTTTCGGCAATGCCACTGAAGTCACAGAATGCAATATGGTACATGTATTCCTATAGAAATTACTCCTTATTTAAGTAGTTTTTTCTGGTGTGTTAATGTTTTTGATACCAAAGAAAGTTCCAAACTTTTTTCTGACAATCAGATATTTTTTTACTTGAATATTTGCTCACTTTTTTACTTGTCACAAGCTTAAGATTTTTTATCTTGAAATCAAGAACAGAATCATATCATATACGCATGTTAATATTTGCCTTAAGTCATCTCTTCTTTTGAGTGATTATAGGTCTGCTATATTTATTTTAGTAGGTAGATGCAACCATTGCTTACATTCTTTTCATTATACATTTAGAATTTTTCTTCCAACGTTTGTGATAGGCGTATTATTTATTATCTATTCAAAATAAGTCCCGATATGTGTGATTTTCTTTAATTAATGGATCTATTTTCACTCCCATTTTGTGAATATCTGGGGTTTTGGTTAAATATAGGAAGTACCATACTTTGTACCAGCCTGGCTGTTGAAGTGTTAATGATGGCACACCATTTGATCAATAACAATTTAGAATAATTTTTTTTCAAAAAAGTAAAATTATAGCTTTTTTACTGTCAGTGGATATTATCAAGGATGTTTGTGTTTGTTAGTGTCATTGTGGTATAATAGAGTTATGACATATAACCGCATTCAGTGAGCCTATATGATTTAGTTTTACGAATATAATGTTCTGAGAGTATGGAAATAAAACAACTAGCTTTGACATGAAAAATCTGTCAAAACATTTTGAATCTTGCCTACTGAATCAGTATAAAATTAGAGACTCCTTTTTTGCATGATATGAAATTATTTATCTGGCCGCTTGTATTGAGGCGTGGGGTGGGGTAGGGGTGGATAATTGATTTTTGGGAAGGCATTTTAAGGTCTTTCTCGGCATAATGGCAAACCTTACAAGGATCTCTCTCTGCAACAAGTAATAAACCGTTCTCCATTCTAGTTACATCCATTCAGCTGAATTAATTGGGGGGGGGGGTGTCTTTAAAAGATAAAATTCTGAAGAACGAGAATTGAAGTGTTTCACTATAAAATAAAACTGGACGCATTCAGGGTCAGTATTTCCTGTTGATCTATGTTTGACAACGCTACACCTGTGAAAACCCCTAAATTTTAAAATGAAAAACGTTTTGGGGTTATATTTTATAATGGTTTTCAGCACCCGATCTTCCCTAGTAAATACGTGCCACACAACTGGGCTGTCACATGTAGGCTATCAAGTAAAATTTTCTGATATTAACGAATTAAGCACCAATTAAGTATTTTAATACTTTAAATTAAAATTAGATTAATACGTTGAATAAAAGTGTCACTGCGATACCATACTGCAATTGGACATGTAAGAGTATCACTAACTCGGTTTGCCAGTTGCCAGATGTTTGGATAGTCCATGTATGTAGGAAGACGAAATTTCAATTATTCTGTACCAGGTGAGCGTTAAATTGCAAACAAACATTTTATTTGCTAACTGTTCTACATTAAAGTTAAACAAAGAAATCAATCAACATGACACTCTTCAAATTAGAAGCCAACAAGTGTGCCTGGACCGGGTCTAAATGGTCTCATGGGTCTCGAGCCACCGCCTGGTCTGTGAGGACGCCTGGTAGCACCATTGTTATTGGTCCCAGCGTTGGGACCGCCGTTGCCATTAGGACGCTGTGGTCTTTCGGGACAAGCATCGGTCCTGCCTGGGGATTTCTTAAATACTTTACGATCCTTGCAGGAACACATGTGAGTGGCTGAAAGTGGTTATTTTCAAAATGATTTATGAATTTGCTTAGGGACACAAATTAATTTTACGCCTTTGTCATCGTGATTTTGGCATCGGTAAAATTCTTAAACGAACTTTTTTCACCTTTTTTTACATATGAAATGTTGATTCTTTTAGATTCCTTTAAAGTTTTCTATACATATTGGTACAGTAACTTGAAAAATGGTCTATTCACTTTACCTTTGGTGTTAGTGCACCACGCCTGTGAGCCCATGAACCCTTGCTGTCTATTGGCGGCACCTTTGAAGCAACCCAAAAAGTAAGGCCACTCCTTGGTCACGTGATATCTGTATTTACCATTGACCTCACGGCCGTGACATTCATCAAGGTCGTCGGCAGTGACCTCGCGTTTCAGGTCAGAGGCCATTGCTCCGTAGATTGGGAACCCGTCCAATGCGAACCCAATAAACTGATCGGCGGTTCCATTGACTAGGCATGTTGGGACTCCGTGATGGTGGTAGGCGCCTCTCATGTCGGGGTGGCCGTTACACTTGTCCATTTTCTCAACCAAAACAGCATCGCATGCCTCAGCGGTCAAGGGGTTAAAGATTCCGACCCCCTGAATGGTCACACCGATAATACCCATAGGGAGGCAGCCGCCTTTGCTTCCGTAGGTCGGTTTCTTGGGTATGTTAAAGTTGTAATTTTGCGCCTTGGCGTCGTTAGGGTTGACATTTCCCGGTGTGTGCTCGGGCATGCCAGTGGCGCTGATCTTGTGGGAGCTGGTGGTGCTCGTAATCTTTACGCCATTCACGAACTGAGCGATTTCTTTGTTGGTGAGAGCGGCGCAAACGCCAACGACACAAGCGAAGACAGCTAGAGTATGCATGGCAACTGAAAAATGAGTAAACTTCAAATGTTTTCTTGCACAACGAAAATGGAATTTAGATTCGCAAATCGGCACGGATTGCTCGTAGCTGCTTTGAAGAATTATTGCTATTTATTATCATATGTATATCCACTGAAATGATAAAATCATAGTATGTCACCCAGAGAGTTAAGTTAGCATATCATGAGAATTATTTTGCAACAATATACTGTTAAATCAATGAATGGAAAATATGCGTTCTTATTTTAATATTTTATGAAACTAAACGTACCTTTGTAAGTTCACTCTTCTTGGGTTTGTGCTCTTGTGCTTGTACCCGTCCTGTGCGCGGATTTATCTTGAAGCCCAATATATAAAGACGTACATAGGCGCGTAGGAGCGAATCCGATTATACCCACGGTCAATGTGACATTGGTATAGTCCATTAAGCCCTCTTTACACTGGACAGCGTCCTCTCTGCGTCCCGTAGTGTGGCCCCGTTTGAGAATAAAAAAAATAATATTTTACTTGCCGACAACTGGCCGATCATTAAGCATTCATTCGGCAGCCAAAGAGATTTTTGTGCTTCCTTCCTACGACCACCGCGATGCCAGTTTCATTGTCGCACAAAGGATACAAAAATGGACGCCGTCCAGTGTAAAGGGGGTTTAATTGAATGTGTGGGCAGGGGTGGACTTAGGCCGGAGTTCATTCCATAATCTGCTGAGTCAAGCCTCTGCTCTTTCAATTAGTCTAAATCCTAATCTCACCAAACAATTTCAAAAAAGTTTTATTTTCTGAAAATGTAAGATTTACCGTTGTCAAATTCAAATAACTAATGTTAATTAATTAATTAATTAATTTATGTAAATGGTCCGTAAAGTGATGGGTAGGTGCAATGAATACCGTCTTGAGAAACACCACGGAGATTATTTGATAAGGTTCAATGCAGAATCTAACTTCAAGTCAATAGTCAGGACACAATGGGACATGGACACCTGGACGTCAACAGTAACATTGTTCTATATGGGTTCTCGCACCCTGTATTTCAGAAATAAATAATAACGTAAATGGAAACGGCGAAGGCATGCTGATGGCAGAGGCGAGTCTCCGGCAATATCTGAAACTCAGGGTATGAAAACCTTTTTAGATGAGTCATCCAAAGAATATGTAAAAAAATACATTACAACAAATGGGTTTCACTTGGTATTTGTCCGATGCCAACTGTCTTGACAACATGGAGATTTTTTCTACAGTACAAAGTGGACTGAATATGTTCTCTTATTTTTCCTCATGATATAACTGTCCTAAAAATGAAAATAGGGGTAACTATAACAAGTAACTAATGTCAACCCTGTACACCGCTTTGTCTCGGCGGTTCTCAATAAAAGGCCATCAATATATATAGATAAAATGTTGATGGAAAGAATATATTTTATGTCATTATTGTAACTTGTAACCAACACATTTGATTCAGATATCTGTTATCAGCATGTAGTTATTCCCATGTTGGACAATGTTTGCTTCTACAAATTCCTGTCTTACTCGATTTTGTTTAAGGCGTCGCTTTCGGACTCTCCTTTGGTACGTCAGGTTCCTCAGCATTACTTTCAGCTGACGATGGATTGTTGATAAATCCCACGCAACGATTCCTAACACGATTCCCAACAAGCATGACAACCCAAACGACCCGATTATGGCAGCGCCAGGAGCTTCCAAGGGATTCTGGGAATATTTGCGTTTAGGTGCTTTTACCACTTTCATATTTGCAACCAATGATATATCTGAAAAAAAAAGAAAATGCTTTAAATTCAATTTGTGGTTCTGGCGAAACTGCGAATTTTCATTACAATTAGAGTACAAAAAAACACTGCAGACTTTAAAACAAGATGAGAAAATGTTTCAAACACCACTTAGTGATAGTTAAAGATTTTTCTGCGTTAGTCATTCTTTAGCTTTATTTATTTATTTATTCTTATAAATCCTTCTTGAGATAGATCGACATTTTTGTCAGTGATTGCCAAACAGCCTCGATGACGTACCTACACATGGTGGTATTTCTTTGCTCCAGACACCTTGCTCTGTGCAGTGAACGGTGCGCTGAGACTCCCCATTGATAAATGATGTGTTATCTAAACACCAATACATGACGACGGTGCCTGCGGCCAGAGGGTGTAGGCCAGAGCCGTTGTTGAAGGTAGCATGTACTTCCGGCGTCGGCTGACAGAAAACATCTATTGAAACCCGAAAATAAAAGAAATGAAACATTATCTTTAGTAATTTCTACCTTGGCATTACATTACGTTAATTGAAGTAATTTCTACATTGACCACCGAACCATATATATATTTCTTTTGCCAAATAAACATCTTCTCCCAGACTCCCCCAAATAATTAGATTTACCGTTTTGGAAATTATTTGTACAGATATCTGAATCAAAATATGTTGGTAACAAGTTATCAAGTGACTGCCTTCGCTTTATATTTCAATAATGTTATTTAACACTTTTAAGTTTAAAATTTCAATAATGTTATTTAACACTTTTAAGTTTAAAATGTCAAGAAAATATAAATATCTTACCTCCTGACGCGCTTGTTGTTAATTGTACTGATGCCGTCTCCGTTGCGCTTATCTCCCAATCATGACAATTTACAGGATATAAAAAACACGGTTCTGGGCTGGAATTTTCAACGTATGGCAGTGCAAAAGATGTTGGTGATGCTGTAGAATATACTGAAGATGTCATGCTTGCTTGAACGCCAAGTGTGTGCGACGGGTCCCTTGGTACTTCAGCCGTAGCTGTTAATGTTGTTTTCGTGTGCAGAGTACTAAGCATATATGCCTTGCTTTGTTGTTCTGTCGATAACACAATGGCTGAAGATGCATATGACAGTGCCGCGGTTTCCGAGAACACAGATTTCGAATCTGTCAGCTTTTTTGTTTTTGCCTCAGCCGAGTGCGCGTTTGCATGTTGACAAGACGTATTGTTTTTCACTTCGGTGATAAGGCCCAACAGTTCTTTATATTCAGCTGTAGTACTCAGTCCTAAAAAAAAACAGGAAACTTAAATGTTATAATATGTATGTAAAGCGCATTTGTCACACCTTTTCCTCGGCGCATTAATGATCTTTTTTATGCGACAGTTATTTTTACCAGATCTTTATTTTATTTTGTGGGTTTGGTAGGAGATATATTCGAAACCAAATCAAAAACCCTCCCATTCTCACCTTCAATATCACAAGCGCCCATGGCTTCTTCAGTTTCTCGCTCTGTCAGTGCGACATCATACACTTGAAAACACGCCATCTTGCCCATAAAAGGAATAACTGCGTCTTGATAATTTTCTTCCGTGTGACATCCTAACAGTATACTTCCTTTTATCTCAGTATGTTCAATTTTTGCACGTACTACTGCATCTTGTTTGCCGTTCACATACACACTGACAGTTACGTTTTCAGAAGATCCCTCTTTCTGTATAGAAAATCCGACAAAATACCATTTACCGAATATCAGTGTTGTTGCGCTTTGTACCTGATACACATTAGGTTCTTCTTGTGGGGCAGTGCTTTTATCTTTTAAAAGCAATGATATTCTTTGTTCCTTGTCCACAATTAAATGCATTTTTGTTTTTCCGGATTCATTATCCCGGAATTCAAATAATGGCACGGAAGCGTTTACGCTGGAGTTGTTTTGGCTAAACACTATACTTTTCTCTAATGCTACATAGCCCAGTACAATGAAGCTGTTGGTGTTATCTACTTTTAAGATAATGTTCTGTATTTCTATGTAAGATGAGCGGGATCCTAAAAACGCGCTCGATCCATTAATTGTTTCGTGCGGTGATTCGTTCGATGATCTCACTGAATGAAGCCTAGCCTCGTTTTGATTTCCACTCAGATCCTGGTTTTGAAACAGTGGAGACAGGGGCCATAGCCCTCGTGGTTGGGGAAGACCTACAATAAGTAGAATTTAAGTGAAACGTATACTTAGTGCCTTTAAGATCTATGGGAAAAAAGAAAGAAATCTAAGTTTCTATCGATTTTAGTTGATTCACATAGAGTAAAGTTAGTATCTTTATAAAAATGATCTGTTTGTGAAGTTGAAGTAGTGGAAAGACACTGCTTAGACATATGGATTTTTTTCCTCAAAGAATGGTGGTAATGATTTGAAGAATAGGAGAAATTTTGAACCTTGCGATTTGAATCAAAAATTTGATAGTCGCCCATTTTAGTCTGGAAAATAAATCTGGCTTACAATTACAAGAATCCATTTGATCCCTCAGTTTTGAACTTAATAGTTTAGTATCGTACAACTGCAAACATGACATGCGTCCTTGAAACAGTTCATCGCAGCAATCATCTTGCAGTCCAGCTGTTCCCAGCAATAAATCATATCTCCCTGCTTCGTCATCGTCAACGTCATCAGTCAAATCTACCTCCACTTTTACAAGTTGTGTTAAAATTGTGTTCGAACTGTTCTCTTTAATCCAGAGTTCTACACTCTTGTTGTCATACGTCAGCGCCAAACTGAGCCATTTCTGCACCGGAACGGGAGCATACACCAGAAGAATGTAAGCTGAATTGATGACTTGCAGGACTACCTCTTGTAGACCTGGATTATCGGGAATGGGCTGGATGGATAGAGTTATTTCAGTGCCTCTAATATTGTTGCTACTGATGTTATTTGCGTTGTTGACATTCACATCGCTGTCATTATAACTAGCACTTCTGTTAACAGTGTAACTGTTGCTGTCGTTGTGAATTTCAGAGTTTTTATTGCTCGGCTTCTGCAATGTTAATACCCTGCATGTTGCATTCAACTCGTCGCATTCAGGAAGAAAAGAGACTAGGACCGATGCAGAATTTGTCTGGCCCGTTATGTTTGTCAGTGCAATAAATGAGTCCCTGGTACCTCTGAACGTGAAAGCCCCATTTAGATCCCCGCGTGGCCCTTCCTCTAGCCCCACACATGACACGTGGGCGTCGTTATATCCCGTGACGTCAGAGTCCCCATACATTTGGTTGAGAGGCAAGCGAAGCAGTGGTGCAGGTTCACCTGAACATGAGTTGAAAATGACGTTAGATTAAAAATACTAGTATTTTCAGTTCGAATGGTTTAAATCATTACAGATCCAGTCTGCTGGAAAATTGAAAAATTAGCCATCAACTATACGCTCAATGTCATCAACATTTTACCAAAAAGTCAGTTGCATTGCATCGAGGTGTTGGCAAAATCATTTTAGGTCACACAAAGAGAGTTTGAAAAGAAAAGAATTTTCCTGATGATTTCAACACCCTTACCTAAATTACCAAGTTAAACTATATCTAGCACAGTTGGCAAAATTACGATCTATAAACCTATGTAAGACCGTTGGCTGCACTTTGGGATAGGGAACATTTTGGTGATTAAGGAGGAATTGCTTAAATATTTTTTTCATCTATTAATATTTCGCTTTCAAACTCGTAAGCTCAGACAGTTTTATGGTTATGGTTCCCTTCGTGGATCTTTATCGTTTAAAAGAAAAGTTTCATTATAATTTGATACGAAAATCGACACATAACAGAAATTTTCGTTTACTAGGGAATTCAAAACCAAAAACAATTTAACATAGGCCACAATATGTGTGGATTAATATATCATAATATGTCATTTAACTTTTCATTTCTCGCATGACATCAATAATAATTAATCCAAAACAATCATTGTTAATGATACAGGCACATAGTTATAAAATCTGCTTACCCTCTCGAATATTCTGATGCGCATGAGCCACAAAACTCAGATATATTGTAAATACGAACGCAAATCTCCTCAGACTGTGAACGTCCATTTTGTCTCGGCACAGGTAAAAATGCTACATCATTACAATTCACGAATGACAAACACTCATTCAATAGATATCAGTATTACTGTAAAAACTGAGTTTCCACGGTATCAATCAAACGAATCTGCCATATAATAGATAAAACAAGGCGTATTTCCGAGTGTACATGGCTAAATCCGGTCTTGTGACAGCGAAGAGCGACGTTTTTAAGTTTGCCCACCATTCATGTAATTGTGTGCGGCATCCGCAATCCAATACACCAAGGAATCAACAGAGGAGACTGAAAATGGCATTTATCTACATGACCTTTTTGCTTGTGAAAGCTAAGGAAATGGTCCATTCATCTGTCAAAACCATCGCGTATTGTTTCGATGACTTAAAACTTTCTCTACTCCATTAATTCATTGTTTGACTCACTGTTCTTGCGTGCCACTGAAATTTGTTTTATGCTAGATAAAATTCTCCGATGTGGAGAGAAGACGCTTAAGGGATGACCTGAAACGTTTTTTTTTAATTGCTAAAGAAGATTTTGAGCGCTGGAGGAATAAAATAAATAAGAACTGGAATAAAATATGATATGAAATGTTGCCGCTGGACATTCACTGTTCACTTAAAGAAATGCTGACAGAAATACTGAACACGGGATTTTTGTTCTGGATAATTAAAGGTGAAATTGGTCGAGCACTATGTCTGCTTTCTAACATTTTAAATTTTCTCTTAATATAAGTCTGTCCACTGATCGATCTCAACCAAGTGCATAGAGATGCAGATTTTACTGCCCCCATTTTAATGACTATGCAATGATTTGACGTCCATTCGATCTTTGGGTAAGCCTATATCTAAAAACAATTTTTCCTATTATTATTATTATTATTATTATTATTAATGTTGTTGTTATTATTCATTTATTTATTCCATAAATATAATAACGCAGTCTGAATATCACGTATCATACAATTGTCCAATTAATTACTGTATTTGAGCAGTGAACGCACAATGTACCGTTGTTTTCATTGCTCCAAAGGGGACGTCTAAGACATTATGCACATCTTATCAATGATATAGCAAACCGGGCATCCTGGGCAGTCGGTGCCAGCTAGTTTAGTGCTCTTCGTGACTTTACAGCAAGTCGGTGCCTGGCATGGCATCTTGGGACATAGTGACCGTGGGAGCATAATATCCTTCTTGATGCAGTCCTTTGATTGGCCGAATCGGGTGCAAACTGGGCAGCATTCGCCTTCAACAACCTTGGTTTCCATACAGCAGTTTTCGAAGGGGCACTTCACTAGTGCACAGTTTGGCTAAAAACAGAAGAACATAAAATTCGCTTATTTTTCAATTTGCTATTTGTTTTCGGTTTAAGACACAGAAGGGAAGGTTTGCAAAAGAACTGAAAACCGGGTTAACTTTTAGACCAATAATTTTAGTCCTTGTCGGTTCACGAAAATTCATTCAATAAACCAATAAAATAGAGATACCAAACCCTCTGATATCATCCCCCTAAAAAACTACACAAAATCGCACTGCTTTTCAACATTTTGTAGCAGACTACTAGCGCACCCTGTGGTCAGAGAGTAGAGTTACCTCTGGTCTAGAATAGTAGTAATATCTTCCTTGTTATGGCACATTCGTAAATTCTTTTTGCTCTTAAAAAGTTTGAAACGCAATATTAGTCTAAATTATTATTTTAACCATACTACAGTGAGACTGAATTTAAACAATACTTTTGTGAAATACAGAAACATAAGCTGAAATTGACACCAACAACGTTTTCATTCCTGGAGAAAAAAGGCGAGTTTTACACTAAAAAAATTCATTGCATTAAAAAACAAAAAAAAAAAAAAAAAGAGTAGATAAAAGTCGCACACTATTCCTGCGAAAACTACCAATGAAGCCTGAAAAACATATGATGCCATTTTTCAAATCTGCCACATTTGCTTTTTGTTATAACTGAAGTAAAAAAAGGTGATTTTTTCTGTTTTGAGCGGATGCAAATGATATCGCACTGCAGAAACATCGATTAACTCTGACATATGTGGGGCAAAATTAAAGCTCTTTTTAGTCAATGCATTGTTCTATTTCTGTTTACCTGCATATCATCGACACGATAACGGTTGATTTTAAAACCAGACATCTTGCACTCGAAGCAAACAGTAAGAGTCAAACTGGATGCTAGAGACAGAGAAATTGTTTGTAGGACAAAAAAAATATTCATGAGGTCTTTCGGCAATATTCCAGAACTTCTTAACACAACTACTTTACACTTTTGTATAAAATACTGCTTTTATATCATATATTGGCAAAAAAAAACTTTTCACTGAGAGCAGTGAATCGCAAACATGAACATTACGTTGGGTCACAAACAAGCTGATAGAAAATAGCTAGGCGCTATAATAAGACAAAATTGACACGGTTTTTTATTTTACCTTTTGACTATTCATTGTGAAAAGCATATAATTTTTAAAGATGAACATTGGTTATGGTACTGAAATACCTTTAAGTACAAACATTAGTAAAATATAAACCGATTATAAAATGGCATGTCCTTTACATATCTATATCCACTAGTATTGTTGCCAACTTACACTTTTGTAAAAGAAAAACCGAACAAACAGTAAAAGATCTCAAAGGGTGTCTAATTTCGTTACCTTTCTGGAAACAGGGCCACTGTGAACCATCAGTGCGCATGACCATAACATCACCACGAAAAGAGTCTTCATGTTGGTGATATGCCGGTGTTACAAACACCCCTGACGATGAAGGAAGCATACTTATAGCTATTTGTTTTTACTTTTTTTCGAGAATGTCGTTGATAATGTCAGTAGAATAGGGCTAGATAACATGATTTAATGTCTAAACAAAAAATAATATTAAATCACGCACCACTGGACATTACTATTTGGTCACGCTGGTAAAACAACTTGCCGCTTCTTTAAGCCAAGTTCGGTAATTCTCTACAAGGGGACCATAACCATTATTTTAATGAGCAATGTTAGACAAGAACCACTAAAACATCTCATTTTCTGGTCATCATTGATTCAACATTACCATTTCAAAAAGAAAAAATCTAGATTGAAATCATAACTGATCACAAAAGCTCACCCGTTTGCTAAAACGTCTAGATCTGTTTTCCCCGTTGAAATGAGTTTTTGAAGTACGCGTTTGTTCAAATATATACTTTCAGTCTGGCGCATATTGGGTTTGACGTAATTGGAATTTTCATCTGAAAACACTTTGGGATAATGCGGGGCACTCTTTTTACTTGAATGGTACGTTTTAATTTGAATATCACCTTAAATGCACAACAAAATTTTAATAGGTCATTTATGGGATTTACTCAGGGACCATTCAGATTGAGAAGAGCCGAGTGCTAGTAAGGCTGCGACCTTAATATGGCGGACCTACATGAAAGGAAGACCGCTAATCCTGTAATGGTCTCTCCGCCTCTCACACGCCTCCCCACGCGTCGTCTCTGCAGGGGCACAGTAATTTTAAAAATCTCGGCTCAATTCAACCGGGCGAGGGACGACGCCTGGGGAGGCATGTTTATTGTTGTTGTTATCAATATTGTTGTTGTTATTATTGATATTGTTGTTGTTATCATTATTACTGTTGTTGTTGTTTATTTATTTGTTTATTCCATAAATAGAAGAACGCAGTCTGAATATCAAGTATCATAAAATTGTCCAATCAATAACTTTGAGCAGTGAACCAGTGTACCGTGGTTTTCATTGTTCCTCACGGGGTTTCTCAGCCATGCAGCTTTCATCAGTGAGTACGCAATACGGGCACCCTTGGCAGTCAGTTCCAGCTATTTTAGTGCTCTTCGTGACTGCACAACAAGGCAGGGCCAGGCATGGCATCATGGGGCAGGGTGGTGGTGGTGGTGGTGGTGGGAGCATAATAGCCCTCTTCAGGCAGTCTTTGGTATCGTGAAATCGGGTGCATTCTGGGCAGCATTTACCTTCAACAACCTTGGTTTCTTTACAGCAGTTTTCGATGGGACACTTCACTAGTGCACAGTTTGGCTAAAAACAGAAGAATACAAAAGTCGTTTATTTTTCAATTTGGAATTTGTTTTCGGCTTGATACACACAAGGGAAGGTTTTGCAAAAGAACTGAAAACCGAAAGTTGGGATTAAGTTTTAGGCCAATAATTTTAGCCTTTGTCAGTTTAGGAAAATGCATTTCATAAACCACTGAAAAAGAGCTACCATACCCTCTAAAATCCGGTCCCCCTAAAAACTATACAAAACCACACTGCTTTTCAACATTTTTGTAGCACCTGTGGTCAGAGAGTAGAGTAACCGCTGGTCAAGAATAGAAGTAATTTCTTCCTTGTTATGGCACATTCGTAATATTATTTTGCTCCTAAAGTTTCAAGTTTTAAGCGCAATTTAAGTCTAAATTAATATTTGTGAAACAAACCTTAAGCATACTGCAGCGAAACTGAATTTAAACAATACTTTTGTGAAATACAGAAACATAAGCAGAAATTGACGCCAACAACGTTTTCATTTCTGGAGAGGAACAAGTAAAGTGAGTTTTACACTAAAATTTCTACTGCATTAAAAAAAAAAGAAAAAAAGAGTAGATAAAAGTCGCACACTATTCCTGCGAAAACTACCAATGAAGCCTGAAAAACATGATGCCATTTTTCTAATCTGCCGCATTTGCTTTTTGTTATAACTGAAGTAAAAAAGGTGATAGTTTTTCCTGTGTTTTGAGCGGATGCAAATGATGTCGCACTGTAGAAACATCATTTAACCCTGACATATAGGGGACATAAGTAAATCTCTTTTTAGTCAATGCATTGTTCTATTTCTGTTTACCTGCATATCATCGACACGATAACGGTAAATTTCAAAACTAGACATCATGCACTCGAACCAAGCAGTTAGAGCCAAACTGGATGCTAGAGACAGACAAATTGTTTGTGGGACAAAAAAAAGAATATTTCTGAGGTCTTTCGGCAATTTTCCAAAACTTTTTACCACAACTGCTTTACACTTTTGTATAAAATACTGTTTTTATATCATATCTTGGCAAAAAAAAAAAAACTTTTCATTGGGAGCAATGAATCAGAGACATTACGTCTGACTATAAACTGATAGAAAATAGCAAGGAGCTTTAATAAGACACAATTTACACGGATTTCTATTTCATCTTGTTTATGATTATACATTGTGAAAAGCATTTGATACTTATTCAAAATGAGCATTGGTTATGGTACTGAAATCACTTTTACCTAGAGACATTACCAAAATACAAACCGATTCTAAAATGACATGTCCTTTACATTTTTATCCACTAGTATTGTTACCAATTTACACTTTTGTAAAAGAAAATAAGGAACAAACGGTAAAAGCTCTCAAAAGGTATTTCGTTACCTTTTTGGGAACAGGGCCACTGTGAACCATCAGTGCGCATGTCCATAACATCACCACGAAAAGAGTCTTCATGTTGGCGATATGCCGATGTTACCAACAGCCCTGACGATGAAGGAAGCATACTTATAACTGGCTTTTTTTTTTTTTTACTTTTTGGCAAAGACGTTATTGAGAATTTCAGTAACAGGGCTAAATAACATGATATAATTTTTAAACAAAAACAAAAAAATAATATTAAATCACGCACTACCTGACGTTACTATTTTGTCACGCTGGTCAACCAACCTGCCGCTTCTTTAAGCCAAGTTCGGTAATTCTCCACTAGGTGACCATAATCATTATTTTAATGAACAATGTAAGACAAGAGCCACTATAAAATTTAGTCATCAACATTACCATTTCAAAAAGAAGAAAAAAATTTAGATTGAAATTATGAACGATATCAAAAGCTTACCCGATTGCTAAAACGTCTGTTACTCCCGTTGAAAATGACTTTTAAAAAAGTACCCGTTTGTTTAAATATGTAATTTCGGTCTGGTGGATATTGGGTTTGACGTAATTGGAATTTTCATCTGAAAACCCTTTAGAATAATGCGGGACACTGGTACGTTTTAATTTGAATATCACTAAATGCAGAACAAAATTGTAATGGGTCATTCATAGGATTTACTCAGTAACATTTCCGCTTTTATTTACAATTCTCAAGTCCTAACTGGTGATCACTTTACCAAGTTTCATATTCAAAATCACACTAGGGACATTAGGGGGCTTTTTCCACCATTTTGAACAAAACCACCGTAAGATTAACTAAGTGGAGTAGATAATGTGATACTAAATTACACACTCCGTCTCTTGCTATCATAAGCCTCTGTGTGCGCTCTCAAAGATTTTCTTTAATTCAAACAGTATTCAAAACATGTATTGAAATACACTCAATTCTTTTTTGAAAGCGAATTTTCAGAATGCTGAAGTTTTCTATGTTTTTTAAGAGAGAAGCTGTGTCCGAAACTTTTATCACAGAGTTCGCACTTGAATGGTTTTTCTCCCGAGTGACTCCTCTCGTGTACTTTGCAGGCGTCCTTACGTGCAAATGATTTCTCACAGATACTACACTTGAAGGGTTTCTCTCCTGAGTGAACCCTCTGATGGTTTTTGAGTGTACGTTTTTCAGTAAATGATTTCTCACAAATTTGACATTTGTATGGTTTCTCTCCATTGTGAATTCTTTCATGCTTTGTAAGGTTACTCCTTCGTGGAAATGATTTCTCGCAGTGCTGACACTTGAATGGCTTCTCCCCCGTGTGAATCCTTTCATGATTTCGGCAGCCTTGGCTATCGCTAAATTTTTTCTCACAGTATTGACATTCATATGGCTTTTCTCCCGTGTGAATTCTCTCGTGTTGCATACAGTTTACTTTTAAAGCAAATGCTTTAGTACAAAACTGGCATTTGTATGGTTTCTCGCCTGTATGAATAAGTTCGTGCGTTTGAAGTGCTGAATACTTAACAAACTTCTTCCCACATATGCAACACTTATACGGTTTATCTCTGGGTGGTCGCAAGTGAGTTTCCTCGTGGCGTTTAAGACGGCTTAAAAATCGAAATTGTTTTTTACAAGTATGGCAATCGAAGGGACCTTTTTCTCTTTCACTGCTCTTTTTCCTTACGTTTTCACCAGTGTGAATTCCCTCATGGTAAATACAATTTATTTTACGTGCAAATTCTTTGAAACAAAACTGACATTGGAATACTTTTTTACCAGTGTGGATTGTTTCATGGTTTTTTAGGGCTGCATACTTAAAAAATCCCTTCCCACAGAGACAACAAGTATATGGCTTTAGTGTGGCTGGTCGAACATGCATAGCCTCATGACGTTTAATTCGACATAAAAACTGAAATTGTTTACCACAAGTCCTGCAGGAGAAGGGACCTTTTTCCTTTCCATTTCCCGTCTTGTTTGATTGACATAATGCATCCTTTAATAAAGGACCTTGAAAAATATCAGTGTTTTTTTCACTCTCATTACTTCTTGGTATACTTAATTGTTGGTTATCAGGAAGTTGTGTAATAAAGTTTTCAATGTCTTCTTCAAAGTCACTCTCTTCTTGATTTGGTATGTCTCTCCCTCTTTGGACAGAATTAATTTCAATATTGCAATTATCATGAACTAGGGAAACATCTCCATCTTTACTGGAGTCTGCAGCATCCTGACAAATGGAATTATTCTGGTCTGACTGGCACTGCTCTTTATTGTTTACCCTTAAAAAGAAAAATAAGAGAGTGGGGAAAATGCTTAATTATATCAGTATCTATTAGGTTCAAAATGATTGCTGCTGAGCCAAAGCAGTATTCGGAAACATGAAAGTGGAAAAAAATCATCAGATTTCTAAATCTTTAAGGAAAGCTATCAACAAAAATGCTGATGTTAGCACTTAAACATTATCCTTACACAAATGAACTGATGCATTCTTCTTCATCATCTTCATCATCTTCATCATCACCTTGAATAAAACCTGGTTCCTCGTATTGTTCAGAACAAAGTCTGATAAACATGTGGTAGCTGAAAAAAAAAGAAAATTTTACAGATGTGTGATATATTAATGGTAAAAAGGCAATGGGGTCGAAGATCACTTGGCTTATCCTCCTCCATCAATATTACAGATATAGAATTCTGCATATATTGCTTAATATCTGCCACACAGCCAAGCCATAAAGAAAATTTGTGTGGCAAAAAAACAACTTTTAATATTTTGTCATCTAATGATTTTGTATGAAACATTTTTGTATCTTTGATTTTCCCACCACATCTGTAAGAAAAGAACCAATGACCTTGGTCTTTTTTTCACGTATAACATAGAGCATTCTATATTTCATGTGAAGCTGTGAGATGCGGTGACATGGGACTTGCAAGATTCTCAAGGCAAAAAGTAAGGCACACTTCAAATTAACTTTAATAAAAGAGATTTATCGTAAATATCAAACTCTGGAGATTGGGAAAGATAAGAAGCTTTGCAGGATAAAAATATGACTCTGAGACATTTCGAAATGAGAGCAGGATACTTTATAACACTATTAACACACACATGTATGGTACTTACACATCAATAACATGTTTCGCTAGGCTCTCATTAGTTTCCAGTTGAACTTGGTCCTTTAGAGCATTCCATCTGTCTATTTGCTTGCCAATGTTTATGTAACTTGCATTTTTACCCCTTTCCCAGACTTGATTGATACATGGTGTTATTACAAGATCTTCCATGCTGGTGCCATCAACCTTGTTCCTTTGATGAGATTCGATTTTTGCCAGTTCTTACAAAAGTATAAAATTACAGATATTAAAATACTTCATATTAATATGTGCATGGCTAACACTTATCATTTAAAATATTATTATAATATAATTATACATACATAAATTGAGAGAGAGAGAGAGAGAGAGAGAGAGAGAGAGAGAGAGAGAGAGACGCTGGTCAATTTTAATTATATAGATAATTTATCATTGTGATACAATGCTAAAATCTTTAGAAAATAAGTAGACTTCACTCACTTGAACAGTTTCAACCTCCGTTAGTATGGAAAACAAGCACACATCGACACTGCATTTGTCTGATGTGAAATCTCAACTAACACAATATTCTTGTGCTTCGGGTTGTAATTTCTGCGTTGACTGCAGCGAAATTTTAAAAACTGCTGAATATGTCATGATTATGTGGCTACATATTACGTAAACTGGGGTCACTCTATTGTTTTATATAGAAAGATTTTTTAAAAATCCATTTAATTGTTTTAAACGTTTTGATAAATAATAGAATTAATTGATAAATATTTTCCAATTACATATGTATATTCAAAGTACCAACCTACAAGATATTTGTTCCTTATGTGAAAAACACGTAATATCAATTAGACATATTTTTATTTACTATAGATTTGCAAATATTCTACTCTAGTCTGATCTAGTCTAGTCTATTCCATTCTCAAACGTTCGGAATTTCATGTATGAAATTAAATTGTCAGAGCTCATACATAAGTTTGGAACTGTTAGACCTTCCAACTGATAAATTTTTGCTGTCGGATTAATCAACTTTCGGAGACTTTAGATCAATGAAGTAAATCATTTTAGTAGTTTGTACACTTTTCGGACCAATGAACTTTTAAACAAATTAGGGTACCGCTGTACGAACACAGTCATTCTATTGGTATTATGATGTTCTTTATTTTCCTTCGTTTTATTCTTTGTATTTCAATTTTTTTTTAATTTTCATCGTAAATTTTCATAAAATACTTGTCGATGTTTAGATCTATTGCAACAGATAACGATTTCTTTTCTTATCCTGCAAGACATCGTCCAGTGGATGTGATAGTTGAGACAAGCCATAGAGCATTGCGACGGTACACCCGACCTTCACCTTATTCGTCTCCATGTTGGTTTTGGCGATGCATCTTTTCACTCGTACAACAAAAACGGAATTCTGGTGACCTCGGAGCTTTTCGGAGATGTCGATTAGTCTCGAAAGTAAGTGATGAACAATCTCAATCGTTAGCAACTTATTTTGTTTTATTTTGTGTCTCGTGAAAATGTTTTCTTTAAACTTTCATTTTTGACTTGCAACCACAAAGATGTGCTACTGGGGCACAGCCGTCAGGCGTCACACGCTTGTTTTGAAACTCCTGCAGGTTACCTCCAGCTTCACGCTTGTTAAGAATTTTAATGCATTGGCAAGTGCAGCATTTAGATCTCAGACAAATGTGAAAGGTCCATTACTTGTAGGCTGCACAACTATAGGCAACCAACAACTTTGATTAAAACTTAGACTCTTAAGTTAGAGTATGAGTTTGAAGACAGGGTGTTACTCCCAGTTTTTCAAGATGACACCAGGACCTCTTTGTCACATTTATGATTAAATGATCAAGAAGTTTTATATCTCATAACCAGAAGATTTATGCTGCTGAAAAAATTGGTCTAAATGGAGACAAGTTTTGAGGAATTACAGGAGCGGATCCAGAGTTATTTTTTGACAGTCTTCCAATTTATCTATGTTGATCCGTCCTCCATTTTTGACTGTCTTCCGAAATACCCGTCAATGTAAACTTGAAAATCTGACCGTCTTCCGGAAGACCCAGAAGACGCCCTAAATCCGCCCCTGAATTATCTCTCCACTTATAATTACTCACTGGTGCTGCAATATTGCCTAGTAATTTATCATGTCTACCATAGCCTTGAATGCATACATTTCAGCATAGCACAGTTTTAATCAGGTATGGTTTTAACTTTATCTGAATGGCATATGCTTAGAATACTTATTTGTAAATTGATGGAGACTTTATGACTGTGGGCAGAAATTTGGGAAATTCGCTTGGATGTAAGTCAGCAGGTAAGACTGTCAGACTAATTTCTCTGCCATTGAAATATGTGATATTTATCACTAAACAAATTCCATCTCTTCCTTTGAACCCCCACCCCTACTTCAACTTAGAATTAGGCTTCTTGCAGGTTTTGCGTATATCCCACAGGTGCAGTTAGTGTAGTTAATTAAACATTTTCCCAATTGAATGAGCATATCTATCAAAGTTAGTTGCTACTAGTACGTGTATATCACAGCAGCACCAATATACTTTTGCCTTTCTGTACTGGTCTCTGTTTTTAGTATGGTAAATTTTTGCCAAGTTCTAAGTATCATGTTAAGTCAAATAGATGGATAATGGTAATATGACAAAGGGAGAAAATTTTATTGTAGTTATAATTTTGAATAGTAGCCCTATGAAATTGCAGACTGGTAGAAGTATTGGAATTCATATTGTTTTACAAGCCAAATATGACTAAGGATGTTTAAAATTCACTCTTTATCTCACTTAATATTTACTAATCTAAATAGTAGGATTTACCAGGTTGCATTACTCCTTTGTTACAAACACTTTGTGAGTGTAAATTTTAACTTGTATTGATTTGTGACTTGCTGATACCCGTCACATCAATCACTGAACCATGATAAGAGATTAGTATACACCATTTATAGAATCTCTTTATATACTTTATTCTGTGTGAAAGTCTTATTTCCACTCTTGCCCTGAGTCAGTTAGACAATGAAAGCTTATCACGATATCAAAACATTAAATATTTATTTTGAAAGTGTTTAACATCAATAAATACAATAAACAGTATTTGGTGTAATTTATAAATGATGCTAAATATTTTATCATGGTAATTGTGATCTTTCATTTATTTATGACATGCATTATCAACCAAAATCTGGTGAAAAACAATAACAATAAAAAAACAACCTCCATACCCTGCCTTTAGGTGCAAATATAATGTTCAACAATCATTTAATAATAATAATAATTAAAAAAAAAAAGAAAAGAAAAGAAAAAAAACTTGACTGAGCAGGAATTGAACTTACTTCACCATGTTTGGCAGCCTAGGATGTTGCCACTCAGCTACCAAAGCTTGCTATCTGATGTTTTGTTATTGACAGTATATATATGATACCTGTCACACATACCGAAGCTTTACGAAAATTGCTGAAGGCTAGAAAATGCCTTCAATACTGTATATACTTTTAACAGTTATAATCAAATACAAACTACGGCCACTATCTTTCCACTACCCTAAAGTATTGCTAACACTTGTCAGTTGTCAACAGTTCCTTGTAGTTTTGGAGAAAAACATGAAAAGGAGACTTTGGCTGATCTGCTATTGTAATATAGATACTGTATTTTAACAAGAACTGCTACATCATTTATACTATATAAATAAAAGTAAGGGTAAAATCATGTGAAGACCTATTCTTAGATTAAAGTAATAAACCAAGCATGTGGCCCTATATTATAATACATTAACATAAATAATTTTCAGGATATTGCAACTAGGATAAGATGACTGTTTGTAGGGTCAACAGAAAAATTGATACAAAGGAAAATCAATTGTCTGTGCGCTCATGTTAAAAACATCCTGGGGTCAAACAGCAAGCTGCACACAAGATGAATCATGGTCTGAGCAATGATAAAATCATATGATGAAAGTTACCAGCTTTGTTTTCTATTCATTTGTAGTTGTAAGGTTTTTCTGTAATTTTTTTTCTTTTATGGCGAATTCTAGCCTTGATCCATTTACTTTCAAATTGGCAGTCTCTGTACATGTGAAGACTATGTTTAAAACAGTCTAGAGAAGCTGAACTAATACTCAAACTAATTATATACATGTTCAAAAACATTTTGGGCATAGGTCAGGAATAGATTTGACTTCTCATTGACCAGACAGAACTATTTAATAACACCAGTATTTAGTGGTTGGTTAGTCTGTCCATCCATCCTTATATATCAGCCAACTTTTCCTCCATTTAACTGGCTTTATCTGTTTTACTGCTCTTCCCTCCAGTCTTCTCTGTTTTTTGTCAATTTACTAATTAATCTAATAGTATTCTTTTACCTCATCACCAGCAGTAAATATAAGTTAACCTGAGTATTTGTATTTTTATCACATCTTTCATCAATTAAAGCCAATGTTTTGTTATGGCACAGTAGGTTCTTGTCAGTGTGGGTACAGTCTAGACAGTGATTAGACTTGAACACTGTTTGCCTCCTAGTAACTAAGAAATAACAGACTGAAACCATCTGTATTTTATTCAATTCTAAGATAGAAGTTGTGTTATGCCTAGCCTGTTTTTTTTTTTTTTTTTTTTGATCAGTCGAAATATTTTTGTTCTTTGTCTCATGATTTTCATCCTGCTAAGGAAGAGAGACAGTTTACAGTAAGGGTTACAAATAACATATTAATTAAACATAAAAAAATATATTTTGTTCTAAGTACAAATAGTGAATGTGCATTGTAAGTAAATCTATAACTGTGCTTTTTTTCCCAGAATATGAAGAAGTGAGTTAGAAGAATTGAAGACCAACATGCAGCGTGCTCCAAGATTGCGACCTCAGGTTCGCCTGGACACCAAGTGGCTGAAGACAGACATACAGGTAAGAAGAAAAATAAACTTTTTTGTGACTTTCTTTATGAGCACAAAAAAAGAGCATTGTTGCAAAGAATGTTAAGCTTTGATCTCAGTTTTTCATTATGTTCATGATGGTACTAATGTAAAAGGATAAAGGATGTCAGGTGAAAATTGCGACCGAGTTCATAGCAAAGATGCAACTTATATGCTTACTGTATGCAGTGCATGTGAAAGCCAAATTTTTTCTAGATTTACTGTCGTGCCAGACATAAGCTGTCTGTAGCATTTTTCCTTTCATTTGGGCTTTTTTGTTTTCGAAAAGGTGTATGTTTTCAAGCAAAACACTGCAGCACTCTATTTCATCAAAATAAACGGTTACTAGTAATAACAGGTTTACACACATACATGCCTAGAACAGACCTGTGACCCTGTTCCTAGTGTGGTAAAATATTTATTGAAGCACCTTGTATCTTGGTATTTCTGCTGGGCATAAAAGGATTGGTTTATTGTTAAAGGTTTTGACAAGTTAGGAAGCACTCCGTAGGTAGTTCATTTAGTAACAGTAGCAGGCTGAGGTGTGTAATTGAGTGAGAATGCTTTTGGCTAGGTGATCTGAGTTTGAAATTCTCTCTCTCTCTCTCTCTCTCTCTCTCTCTCTCTCTCTGTGTGTGTGTGTATGTGTGCACATATACATAGGCACGTCACAAACTTAGTTACACTAAACCATTAGAACCGTTTACCTTCTTTGCGAAGATGTTACAGGTATACATCAGGGGTAAAAAGAATTATGTCTTTCTGTGATCAAAAATACAAATCATATTCATCATTTGGTATTTTGATTATCATAACATGCAATCTAGCCTCAGTTGTGAACAGTTATTTTTGTCCTGGTTTTCTGCTTTGTAAACACTTAGGTATGATAATTGTTTCTTGATGTATTTACTATTCTAAATATTTTCTCCATTTATTTTTCTCACTGCACATCTGAAAACATGAGATAGCTCCCTTCAAGTAAAATTGAATTCAACGGTTGATTATTTAATATATACTGAGACGATATAATGAGGGCAGTAAGAGATCTTGGTCTCTATACTAAGACCGTACCAGTAAGCTTGCAGTTTGGAGGCATGATGGGCTTCTAGTTGCCTACAAATTGTTTTCCCTGTTTTTTGCCAGACTGAGAGACGTTTGTTTACAACCCTGAACAGGTAATACCTACCTGACAACACCTGACAAGTCTAATTACCAGGTCAGGTGGCAGAGCCTGGAAAACGGCACCTTATATACACACACACAGTATAGATTTGCTTCTGGTTTCTTGGTAAATATTTTAATGGAGCAGATTCAAAATTGATTAATTGTTTTGAGCAGAAGGGGCTGGGGGGGGGGGGAATGAAGTAGTGCAGGCACACACATCTACTGTACAGTGTACTGCGTTATTAATAATAGTTTGACTTAGAGACTTAGAGCAGTTGTTTTTCTACGTCATATTTAATAATAATTGCAGGTCGAAGGAGCAATCCGTTTTACCATGAAGTTGGTCTTATAAACTGCTGTATTGCAGGACTTTGCACATTGTCGTTGTAGCTCATGCCCTCCCCCCTCTGCTTAGATGTACCAGGGTTATATAGGTATGATCTTTCTTCAATAGTACCATAACACTCCTCTAGCTATAGACGCTCTTTAGATAGGTTAAAGACAGGGTAACAGTCTGAACAGCTTCAGCCTTAATGGAATGCCTCTGGACTTGTGGCAAAAATGCAGTGCTTTTACAGCAATATGTGGCCTCCAGAAAATCTTGCATCCCTCCCACCTACATAATTAAGTAATAAAGAAAAAAAAATGAAAAAAAGAAAAAAGGGAGGATGAAGAAATAATAGAAGAGAAAAGAGAGAAAAAGAAGAGAAAACAGATCTTCCAAGTATCTAGAGAAGTCAGTTGTAGCCAGCATTTGTCCAGCCCTCAGGAATGTCATAATACAATTTTCGCAGCTCTTCTTATAAATCAATATGTTTTTTTTAATTTTCTCAAAATTTTTCAATATTGATTGCCTGTGTATTTTTAGTGTTATTTTATTGTGAAATGTTAAACAATACATCTGCATGTTTTGAGCTTTGCCGTGTTGGCACGCACAGTGTGTGCAAACCTCTAAACATAACCTGTCAGTGTTCATGATTTCATCAGAGATTTGTTTAAGAGTGCATCCAGATATCCTACAGGGATTCCCAAAAATAAACACCAGTTTGTCTTAATATCCACTTACAGTTGGTGCTATATCGGCATCAGTGCTGGAAACGCCGAGACTTTTAATTAGTGTCTTCCTGGAACAACCTGTTCCATAGCACTGAGTATACTAGTAAATACATGAAAGCTGTGAATAGAATAATTAATGATATATTACTTGTACATATATACATTTTAATTTTACTGCTAACAATCTTCTCCTTTTAATTAGCATTAATTTTATTTCTTTATTTTGTGTTTTTATTTCGGGTTAAGTTGGGTTGTCTCAGACATTATTGACAAATCTGAACAGTTAATATCATGTTTTTTTAAATAAAATACTTAAAAATAAAAAAAAATGGAAGGAAGTAGAAATTGATAAGAAAACCTGGGACTGGAAACCAAAACCTATGGTATGTGATGAATCAGAGCCTGTATGGGATTTTTTCTGAGATTTTTTTTTATTGAAACTGGCAGTATTCCAGGAATAATTCGTCTTTTTATAGCAATGCAATTATCTGGTATGAATGGTTTTCTCAGAAATAACTGTTTATTCAATTTGCTGGTGTATCTTATGGCTTGTTTGTTTCACAATATTCCCATTTTCTCAGTGTACAAATAGTTTAGCACTGAATACAGCTATAGTTGTTGGATGATGGTTCGTCTGTGATGGCTTTATAAAACTGAACATTGGTCAAGTATACTAGTAATTGCGCCACCCGCTTATATTCAGTGGTTCTATCCTTTACAATTTCTGTGTATTACTAGACCAATATAATTATGATATATCATAAGAATCCAGCACCGTCTTCAATATGTATGTGGAGCTTAGCAATTATGGTAAAAACCTGAAAATTTTGTCACTTAAAAATCAATTAATATTTTAAAAAGCATGAATCTAATACGACAATATTTGGTGACAAACTTTCCAAAATTATCAAGAGGCCCATTTTCAAGTTTGACAAAAAAATTATTTTGGCAGAGAATCATCTTCCAACAAAATTTTTAAGACCAACAAAATTTTCAAGTTTTTACCGTATAACCACTCTGAACATGAGCTTCATCTTGACAAGATTAGTGCAGGTATAGAAATCATTAATACTAGGCATCTCAGTCTAGATCGACTGCAAGTTTCTTCTGGAAGAGCTGTCAATTAGCACTGGCTCGTGAGGTTCTAATCCCATGGTACGTGTTAATAAAGAGAAATCAGGACAACATGCATGTATCTTCACTTGGTTGCAATTTCTGAAATTACTAAGAGTTGGTTAGGATGTCAGCCAGTGAAGATTTCTTCTTCATGGTTTTGACTATATTGAAACAAGATTGGTCAACAATATTTCTGTGATTTACTTGTAAATTCTTGGAAATCATGCTTGGAAGTTTGGCAAAGCAAGTTGTATTCATGTCAGAAACTGTTTTTGGTTAATATATTATATATCATTAAATGGAATGTAAAGAAATGAAGTGTCTAGAAATTTTGAATTTTTGAAAAATTATTCATTACAGTAAATGAAATATGAGAAGAAATTAGGTGTTTGAAATTTACATATAAAATGATGAAACAAATTAACATGTTAATAAATGGTAATAAATGATGTATTGGGAAAAAAAATTACCACAGTGAAAAGATTGTAATGGTGTATATAGGGATGTGAAATGTAGATCTATGTGGAAGATTTCCTTTGCTCTAACAGATAATATTTCTCAAGGCTGCCTGTTTTACACACACCCACTGACAGTACTAATGGGAAAGAAGTGATGTTGGTGGTGATGAACGGTCTCTTGTTACAAAGAAGTAGCCAATTACTCTGACTACATATAACATTTCTTCTGATTATGTGCCAGTGCTAATAATATAAACCAACAGCAAAAACAGGTGGAATCCATCAGTGTATCATTTACTACTGCACAGTATGCACTTTTCCATAATAGTTGAGACTTGGGAGCCAAGTAATTTTTGAAATTGATTTGAAATCAGTTTTAATAGATACAGACCAGCAAAGGCTTGTGAAATACTTGGCTGCAAATTTACTAGCATAATTGATAAACCAAGGAAGTTGGCTTTAGCCTTGTGATACCTTTCCTTACTAAATTGTGGAATACATTAATAAACAACATAATTCTAAGGATTTTCATTTGGGAGGAGCCCAAGTTAGAAATATACGTATAGTTCAAAATGTTTAAGCACAAAAAATGTTTTGGTATTTCTTTGTTTTTTTTCCAAAGATGATATTTTGTTTTTGACCCCCTTCCCCAAGTCATCTTTTGTTAAAGTTAATACAAGCATCAGAATTAAAAGGGATGTTAATGACTTCTATATAATTTTCCAGGCTGCCTTCTCTCATGATGGGCTGAGTCAGTTGTGGAATGAGTTGGTCAAAGACAGGGAAATAGTTAGTGATGTCAGTGATGGGATTCTGAACAGTGCTGGGCTATTGGCCAAGAAAGGTAGGTGTTAATCTCTTCTAGTTAAACTGTGTTTTGTACTGTAACCAAGCCAACAGCAAACTTGACAATTATTTCTTTGGATACCTTAAACAGAGAGAAACATCAAATTAAAACAGGATGGGTATTATAACAGTGCTCTAAAGATAATGAATGCAGTTTGTTAAATTGGCTTCATCAGTATTATGGAAAAAAATAACAGGTTACTAAAGGTTGTTACCAGTAACAAAATATGCTTGAAACTTGTCACAAAACAAAATATAGTAGAATTCATGGTAAAAAGGCTGCAGTGGTTGGGGCAAAGATGTGACAGTTATTGAAGAGATGTAGTATTAAATTATAATCAGTCAGATTGAAACTTAAAGGTAGATTTGGTGAACTATGTCTTGTCTGGCATGCTTGTGTTTTGTGGAATGACTGGGATTAAAATTTTCAGTGGTAAAGTACTAAGCTATTCTTACTCAAACATTAAGAACTCCAGATTGCCACAAAGTTGCTGTGACTAAGTCAAATCAATGAAAATTAGAAACAGAATATCTAAATCACAGTATTTATAGAATACCTTGTTTTTGCTACAGGTGAAACCGGCAGGTATTACTGTGGTGCCAAGGTGTTGTCTTGTGCCTGCTGCGATAGTCACTGTGGTCCAAACAATGGCTGCAACTGTCCAGCCTGCCAGAAACTTGACCAAGAGGAGAAAGAAAGAAAAGAAGAAGAGGCAAAGATGCCGAAACCATCCCACTCCATTATAGATTCCTGGACTTGGGGCCAGCAACCAGGTATATATATGTGTTTGATATCAGAAGCAAAATGGAATATACACGGTGGATGAAAAAGACAAATAAATTTCAGAAATATCCACTGTAATTCAAAGAAAAACCACTTTACGCTACAGCATCCTGTTGTTTCCTACATGAAAAACGTTTGACTCGATACCTTGATTACACAATCATGGTTTTAGTTGCATCTGAGATCTGAGGCATTAGTGAAGATTGATTTTAGATCAGGTTATTTCAAATAAACAGGCTTGGCTTATTTCTTGTTATTTATTCTATAGATCTTACATTAAGTTATCCGAGAGTGTGTCACATATTTTTCAGACTCGAATCAGTTGAATGCTTGCCTTCACTCCCTTCTTCATGAGCACCATCAACTGGTGAGTGATGCCGCGGGCACCACTCTGTCCGCCATGAGACTCAAACAGAGGCTGGTGGTGCTGGAAAGGTACGCATATAATTTTCTGCATAGAATCATTCCATATTATTAAAGAGAAGGAAGATTACATGAAATCATCATATGAACAGAATAAAATTTTAAAAAATTGATATTAACTGCTTTTAATCAGTGATGTGTGATTGTTGAGATTGAATCATGAGTTTTAGTTTGGATGTAGTTTGAGGTATAACTACCAAAGTATTTCTTTCAAGTTTTCTGTTTTCTTGTAGATATTTCACAGCCTTGTCTCGCCACAGTCCCTCTGAGGGCAAATCTCCAACAAGAAAAAAGCAGACAATTCAAACCAACATGGACAAAAAGAAAAGGCATGTTTTAAAAATTGATGCTGTTATGAGTTAATGGTTTTATTAGTTTTACATCAGTTGATATTATATACGATACAGGGGCGGATCCAGAGATATTTTCTGAAAGCCTTCTAAATTATCTTTGTTAATTCATCCTCCATTTATGACTGTCTTCCGACAGAAAACATTAGATACCTCTGTAAAAGAATGTGAAACATAGAAATTATTGAAGTTTTTCTGCATTTCAATTTTGCAGCTCTCAGAAACCTGTGGAGAAAGCCACTATGGGTTTAGCAAGGGTGGGCTCCAGAGCTGCCCTCAGTTTCGCTTTCGCATTCCTACGCCGCGCTTGGAGGTCTGGAGAAGACGCAGATTTGTGTAGCGAACTTCTCCAAGAATCTCTGGATGCTCTCAGAGCATTGCCAGAAGCTACTCTGTTTGATGAGAGCACGGTGTCACCAGTTTGGATGGAGGTGGTGGAAAGAGCATCCAAATTTCTGCGCTCTGTTGTAGCAGGGTAAGTAACATTACTGCATGTAGATTGTATGAAGCTCTCTCACCACAAGCAGATAAAAGGGCTTATTTTCCTAACATTTTTGCAATTTTTTTCATGTGGAAGTTTTACTTTTGATATTCTCCAGAAATCAACATATTCAATTGGTAATTGCTATCACCTCATATGATAAAATGCAATTAAAAGTTTTTGGAAAGAAAAATATTTTTATATTAGACTACTTAACTTTAGTCCCTAGTAATCAACCTTTACCCTTTGACCTTTAAATTTTGACCTTCCAGTGACCTGAATGGAGCCGCCACAGCCAAAGGGTCAGGCAAGGTCCCCATCCAGGACCAGCAGATAGCACTGGCTTTGCTGTTAGAGCTGGCCGTCCAGCGTGGCTCTCTCAGCCATCTGCTCGGTGCAGTCCACTTGCTGCTCAACCTGTGGAACAACAGCAAGTATGACCATGACAACAGGAGCTGTGGACTCAGTAGTGCCCCTCTTGTCCCTCTTTTGAAGAGGTTCAATGAGATTCAGTCGCAGAAGTCCCACTCTGCATGGGACCATGGGAAAATGGATGAGGTATGGAGGAGGCTGCTATGCTTACTGAATTACAATTGCCAGTGAAATATTTATTTGTTTGTTTGTTTTTTCATCCATTTATTTGTGCATTTATACAGTGGCACTCACCTTTACAGAGAGCAGTTTTAACTTTGAAATATGCTTTTGGATTGCCTAAATTATATTTTGATCATGAAAATAAGGTCATATGAATGGTGTATTTTTAAATGTCATTCTAAGCGAGATAAAAGAATTGTATAAGACAGATTGTAATCCTGCTAACTAAAGGCAAAACATGTCATTGCTTCATATTTCTCTTGAAAAGTAAAAGCTAATATTAAGTACTACTAAAGTAACAAAGTTCTTTCTTTGCAGTCCAACTACAGCTTCAGTCCCACGGAGTGTTTTCTCCGATACCTCTCCATTCCAGAGGATGAAGACATGCTGCTGGACCTCAGACAGTGTGCTGTGGTCATTGTGTCACATCTTGACCGCCTCTCTGGACCTTACAACCCTCCACAAGAAAGCCACAAGGTTGGTCAATCTAAATGATGCACATATATATTATTTCATTTGTCTATTATATTGAGATGGAATTGTGGGCTGAAGCCAGATTAGAAACTTTGATGATATGGTCTTATTCCTTTGATTCAGAATAAATAAGCAGTAGTCCAATCAAATAAAGTACCTGTTTGTATTAAATGTAACTGTTATTATTTTTATATATCAGTAACAGTTTCACAGTTAAGTAAACTAATCTTGATTTATCATGGGTTTTGAGGTTCGTTGTAAGTCCGTTTCTAAAACTACACCCAGATCAAAATTTTCCTTGCCTATGCCATGCTTAGATCAATCAGATCTTTTGAATTTATTCAAAATTTAACTGGTTATCTTTTATTTGCTTATAAACAGAGGTTCTAGGCAACATTTACCATAATCTGTCATTTCTCTACCTATAAGAAAACCTATTCTCTTTTCCAGTCAAACAGCAGTCGAGTAACTCAGGAGGTACTTGGATGGGGCTGGCTAGCATGGACGGTGGGCACTAGCAAAACTGGACCTCAGCTTGTCCAAGCTCTCAGTGACCTGGGGGGTATCCAGCAGATAGTTTGTGGAGAGAGGGCGCTGTTGGCACTGACCAAGACAGGCAAGGTTTTCAGTTTGTACTACACCTCCGAGGCACAGAATGTACAGGCTGTGGAAGGGTTTGGTGATAAAGATATCGTGAAGGTTGTGGCCCACCCTGACGGCAAGCATTTCATGGCTCTGTCCAGTGATGGGGATGTTTTCGCCTGGGGAAATGGAGATGGTGGAAGACTTGGTCTAGGAGATAACAAGTAGGGTTACAAACAAAAGAAAAAACACCTATCATTTGTAGTTAATTATTAGTTTTCCTTTGACATTAGTTATAGAAAGTCCACTTATCTTGCTGTTTGTGCTTTAGAAGAGCCCAATAAAACCAGCTTATTCAGCAATCTAAATCCAGCTTTCATGAACACATGATCTGATATCACTTGTCCAAATGGTGCTTATTATAAGTTTGTTTTATTAATGTTTTACTGAAAACTGACATTAGTCTGTCACTCTTTCATCAAAATTGTATCAAAAAAATCTGCTTACTTGTTTATATTATGCCTGTTTGTTACATCTTCTTTGTTTTAAAACCTATTCCTAATCCCAGTTCCAGGGACCAGCCTGTCCAAATCAACTCCCTCAGTGGCAAGCACGTTGTCAACATCAGCTGTGGGAGCACATACAGCGCTGCTGTCACAGCAGACGGAGAACTGTACACGTGGGGGCGGGGTAACTATGGCCGTCTGGGACACGGCAGCAGCGAGGATGTCACCGTTCCCACCCTGGTTGCCTCTCTGAAGGAGCATAAGGTGGTGGACGTAGCCTGCGGGAGTGGGGATGCACACACACTGGTGGTTACTGATGATGGTAAGGGTTTCAATAAGGTCTGGGTTTTATATTTATGGAAAACATAAAATCTTAATGGTGTAGACGCTTGTTGTGAATAATTTGGAAGGGACAAATATTGAGTATTGGTTGCTTCAGGTTTCATGTTCTTTTGTTACAGATGATGGTAAGTGTTTGACTAAGATCATTTTTATGTACATATACAGTGTTATGCTAAGATCATTGCTGTAATATATTATTAAAACAGTATTATGATGTATATAATAAAGAAGCTATGGACACTTAGAAAAGGACAAATATTGAGTGTTGATTCCTTAAGGTTTTGTGTTCTCTTGCTTCTGATGATGGTAAGCTTATGACTAAATCATTGTAAAAACTGTATTATGATGTATATAATATGGAAACTATGACAAATATCAAGTGTTGGTCCCTTCAGGTTCTGTGTTCTCCTGGGGTGATGGGGACTATGGCAAGCTGGGCAGAGGTGGCAGTGAGGGCTGCAAGAGCCCCAAGCTGGTGGAGAAACTGCAGGGTCTGGACATAGTACGGGTGTACTGTGGAGCACAGTGTAGTCTGGCTCTGTCTAAGGCAGGAGCTGTCTACTCATGGTTAGTATCTAGATTTATATAGGAAACTTTTTGCTTAGTTTTCAAATCATGGGTTTTTGGGAAATAACAAGTGACAGTTGAAGTTGGCTTGCAGGTAGACTATTTAAACAGTCACATCCAACTTTTATCAATTTAAATGTGATACCACACAAGAAAAGTACTGTATATAATACATGTAAATGGTAGTGTTCATACATTTTATATTCTTTATTCATATTTTAATAGAAAAAATTATTTTTTTATGCAGTAGTTATGATTCCTGTACTTTGTAAAATATGGATGTATCTTTATCCTGAAATATATATGTAGAGTATAGAATCAGATGCATTCTTATCCAAACATTTTAAGGAAGCACAAATCTCTATTATTTGCTCCTCAGGGGCATTTTGGCACTTATATCCAGTATAAACATACACAAAATATATCCCTCTCACTTATTTCCCAGGGGTAAAGGAGATAATTACAGACTCGGCCATGGCACAGAGGAGCATGTACGCCACCCAAAACAACTGGAGGCCATGTCTGGTAAGAAGGTAGTGGACATTGCCGTAGGTCCAACACACTGCCTGGCCCTTACAGAGGACGGGGACGTGTACAGCTGGGGGAGAAATGACCAGTCCCAACAGGGAGATGGACACAGTAGCACCAAGACTGACCCCGGTGTGGTGACCCACCTGCAGGGGAAACATATCATAGGGGTGGCTTGTGGACCCGGACAGGTGAGAACTGAGAGTATTTGTTAACATGTATGCTTAATCAGGTGATGGGTGTTGAAAATGATTGGTTAAATACATTGTATTTTGATCATTTGTTCCTTTTTTATTCTGGAAATTTTTGATTTTCTTTTGTCTTCTCACACAACAACTTTTTAAACAGGGTCTGAATATTTTACACTGAGGTTAATAGACAGAAAAAAAGTCCTCTTGTTCGAAGAGCAATTTTCACAACCAATATGATTCTACATTCTTCAATATTGCTTCAGTGTATGTATAAAAACTGCTCTCTTTCTGTTTCTAGAGTTTTGCCTGGTCATCCAGCATGCAGTGGTCAGTGGGGGCCAGAGTGCCATTTGTGGTGGACCTGTGTAAGTCCACCTTTGAGCAGCTGGACAGACTACTGGACAGTGTGTGTGAGGGGATGGACGGCCGAAGTGACTGGCCGCCGCCACAAGAGAAAGAATGTATGGCAGTCGGGGCGCTGAATCTTCTGAGTCTGCAGGTGAGATCAAATGACAGAATATTAAATCAGCAGTTAATTTCTTTATTTGTGTGTGTATTATTGGATAACCTAAAAGATAGTTTGTGATTTTTTTTTTNTTTTTTTTTTTTTTGGTTGGGGGGGGGGGCATACGAATGCGCTTACTCCAGCTGGTGGTACAATATCCAGAGGCGGTATCGCCTCTTTGATCCTCTAGTTATAATTCGTTTTACAATTGTTACTGAAACCTGACATTAATATGTCATTAATATTGTTTAAAAAAAATCTGCTTACTTGTTTATATTATGACTGTCTGTTACAGCTTCTTTGTTCTATAACATGTACCTAATCCCAGTTCCAGGGACCAGCCTGTCCAAATCAACTCCCTCAGTGGCAAGCACGTCGTCAACATCAGCTGTGGAAGTACGTACAGCGCTGCTGTCACAGCAGACGGAGAACTGTACACGTGGGGGCGGGGTAACTATGGCCGCCTGGGTCACGGCAGCAGCGAGGATGTTACCGTCCCCACCCTGGTCGCCTCTCTGAAGGAGCACAAAGTGGTGGACGTGGCCTGCGGGAGTGGGGACGCACACACACTGGTGGTTACTGATGATGGTAAGGGTTTCAATAAGGTCTGGGTTTCATATTTATGAAAAACATAAAATCTTAATGGTGTAGACATTTGTTGTGAATAGTTTGGAAGGGACAAATATTGAGTATTGGTTGCTTCGTTTTCCATGTTCTTTTGTTACAGATGATGGTGTTTGAAGAAGATCATTTTTATGTACAGACACGTTGTATAATCATTGTTGTCATATATTATCAAAACTGTATAATACACAATGTAGTGTAGAAGCTATGGTCACTTTTAAGGGGAGAAATATTCATTCTTGATCATTTCAGGCTAGGTGTTCTTTTTTCACAGACAATGGTTAAAAGTTTTACTTAGCTGAGTCATTGTTTTCATGTACTGTTAAAGCTGTATTATGATGCATTTAATGTGGAAGCTATGGACACTTTGAAGGAGCGAATAACAGTAACAGTTGTCATATATTTTCAAAACGGTATGCTGTGGACAATTATCAAATGTTGGTTCCTTCAGGTTCTGTGTTCTCCTGGGGTGATGGGGACTATGGCAAGCTAGGCAGAGGTGGCAGTGAGGGCTGCAAGAGCCCCAAACTGGTGGAGAAACTGCAGGGTCTGGACATAGTGCGGGTGTACTGTGGAGCCCAGTGTAGTCTGGCTCTGTCTAAGGCAGGAGCTGTCTACTCATGGTTAGTATCTAGATTTATATAGGAAACTTTTTGCTTAGTTTTCAAATCATGGGTTTTTGGGAAATAACAAGTGACAGTTGAAGTTGGTTTGCAGGTATGTTATTGAAAGTGTCGCAGCCGACTTTTATCAATTTAAATGTGATACCCCACCCTACAAGAAAAGTACTATATATAATACGTGTAAATGTTCATACATTTCATACATTTTTGTCTGTATTTACATTTTGATAGGAAAATTAATTATTTTTATGCAGTAATGATGATTGCTATGCTATGTAGATTACAGAAAGCTTCTGTATCCTGAAATGTGTAGAGTACAGAATCAGATGCATTTATATCCAAATTTTTTAAGGAAGTGCGTATCTCTATTATTTGCTCCTCAGGGGCATCTTTGCACTTATATCCAATATAAACATATACAAAATATATCCCTCTCACTTATTTCCCAGGGGTAAAGGAGATAATTACAGACTCGGCCATGGCACAGAGGAGCATGTACGCCACCCAAAACAACTGGAGGCCATGTCTGGTAAGAAGGTGGTGGACATCGCCGTTGGTCCAACCCACTGCCTGGCCCTTACAGAGGACGGGGACGTGTACAGCTGGGGGAGAAATGACCAGTCCCAACAGGGAGATGGACATAGTAGCACCAAGACTGACCCCGGTGTGGTGACCCACCTGCAGGGGAAACATATCATAGGTGTGGCTTGTGGACCTGGACAGGTGAGAACTGAGAGTACATGTTAACTTGTATGCTTAATCAGGTGATGGGTGTTGAAAGTGATTGTGTAAATACATTGTATTTTGATCATTTGATCCTTTTTTTCTGGAAATTTTTGATTTCCTTATGTCTTCTCATTCAACGATTTTTTAAACAGGGTATGATTATTTTACAGTTACACAGGTTAATAGACAGAAAAAAGTCATCTTGTACGAAGTGTAATTTTCACAACCAATATGATTCTACATTCTTCAATATTGATCCAATGTAGAATGGATAAAAACTGCTCTCTCTCTGTTTCTAGAGTTTTGCCTGGTCATCCAGCATGCAGTGGTCAGTGGGGGCCAGAGTGCCATTTGTGGTGGACCTGTGTAAGTCCACCTTTGAACAGCTGGACAGACTACTGGACAGTGTGTGTGAGGGTATGGACGGCCGCAGTGACTGGCCGCCGCCACAAGAGAAAGAATGTATGGCAGTCGGGGCACTGAATCTTCTGAGTCTGCAGGTGAGATCAACTGACAGTATATTAAATCAGCAGTTAATTTCTTTATTTGTGTGTGTATTATTGGATAACCTAAAAGATAGTTTGTGATTTTTTTTTTTTTTTTTTTTT